GGCACAGATGTGACAAGGGCAGTGCAAGAGTTTTTCTTAGGAATTCATATCCCTGCAGGTTTATCCAGTTCCTGGATTGTTCTTATACCTAAAACGGATAGACCTTCTTCTTTTGCTGAATATAGGCCAATCTGCCTCTCTAATTTTGTAAGCAAAGTATGCACTAAAGTTCTGGCCAGCCGACTTAGTAATATACTGCCCAAAATTATATCTAAGGAGCAAGCAGGATTTATGAAAGGAAGGGATATTGCAGACCAGATTTTAGTGGCTCAGGAGATGGTACATGCTATTGATAAGAAGATAAGGGGTGGTAATGTTGTTATTAAATTGGATATGGCTAAAGCATTTGACAGGGTCTCATGGAGATTCTTATCTGATGTTCTTATCAAGTTTGGCTTCTCAGAACAATTCATTAAACTGGTTATGAATAATCTTAAATCTACATTCTTATCAGTTTTGGTTAATGGTTGTCCCAAAGGTTTCTTTAAGCCTCTCAGGGGGGTCAAACAGGGAGACCCTTTATCCCCTTTTTTATTTATTATTGCTGCAGAAGGTTTCACTAGGGGTCTGAACTGGAACATTGACCAGGGTCTCATCAAACCGTTTTGGATGGGCAGTCAGGGAATTCCTATATCTCATTTGGGGTTTGCTGATGATATATTGGTTTTCCTAAATGGAGACATCAGATCTATCATCAGATTCAAGAAATTTATTGACTCTTACCAATCTGCATCAGGCCAGTTAGTTAACTTGGAAAAAAGTTCAATTGTGTGTGGTAAATCAGCTGTTAGAAGGAGTAGGCTTATCAAGGATGCCCTAGGAATGAGTCTTTCTTCTCTTCCTATGAAGTACCTAGGAGTTAATCTGCACAGGGGTATAAACAGGTTTAATTATAGTACTGGGTTGATTAAGCAGTTTGAAAAGAAATTAACTCCATGGAGACAAAAAAACCTAACTCAGGGAGGCAGGCTAATCTTGATTAAACATGTGCTCAACTCTATCCCATTGCATACTTTAGCCACAGATACACTGCCAAGAAAAGTCAAAAGGGTTTTAGAAGGTAAAATGGCTGACTTTTTTTGGGGATCTTCTGCCCAAAAGAAGAATTATCACTGGAAAAATTGGTCTCAGTTATGTGGTCCTAATGAAGAAGGAGGATTGGGGATTAGATCACTAACTGACTTAGAGAAAAGCTTTACCCTTAAATTGTGGTGGAAATGGAAAACTGGTAGCACTCTTTGGAACAATTTTATCAACAACAGATACCCTAGGGGTGAAAACCCCACTGCTAAAGTTACAGACTCTGCCACTTGGAAAAGAATCTGTGCTATCAACGATGAAGCTCTCTCTGCCTGCTCAGTTAGTTCATCAGGAGAGATATGTTGGAACTTGGAGGAATCTGGGTGTTTCAGTCTGAGATCTGCATACAATTTCATTAGAGAAGAAAGTGTTAGCTCCTTTATAGATAAGCATATCTGGCACCCAAGGCAACACTTAAAGATTAAGCTCTTCCAGTGGAAGCTCATACATAATTCCCTGCCAAATACTAGCAACTTGAAAAGATTTAGACTTGTTCTAAATCCCTCAATATGCCCTTTGTGCAGAAGTAATTCAGACACTACAGACCATTTGTTTTTTCAATGTAGTATATCCTTTCCTATTTGGAGTTACTTTATGGGGTTATTTGGGATCAAAATTCCTCATAAAAATACCTCAATTAGGCAAATCTTTATCCTGTGGTGGCTTAAAGCTGGTAGTAAGAAATTGGAGGACATCCTTAAACATAATCTTCCTGGAATAATTTGCTGGAATATATGGAAGGTCTACACTCACTTTATTTGGGGCTCTGGAGACTATCAAGCTACTGCAAATTTTATTATTATGCAGATAAAACTCTACACTCAACAATGGATTTACTCTATGGGGAATTTTAGGAGGTCAGATTTTTGTGAGGTCTTGTATGAAGAAAATTTGTTGTCGAGGAATGTAAAGCTCACAGGTAGGACGTACAGACTGGTAAAATGGATTAAGCCTATTACTGGATTGAAATTAAATGTGGATGCATCGTATATACCTGACCGAGCTATGGGAGGTGCGGTTATGAGGGATAGCAGCGGCAAGATGATTGTGGCCGTTCGATTTCCCATCTTAGCTTCATCACCGCTGGAAGCAGAGCTTAAAGCGATTGTAGAGGCGACGATGTGGGCGCTGCAATTGGGTTTTGAAAAGTTTCAGGTGGAAGCTGACTCTTGGGAGGCCATTGCATTCTTGCTAGGAGAGGAAAACCGCAGATGGAAGATGGAGATTCAGGAAATTGTGCTGGCTTCGAGTAGGAGGGGTGTCGGTTTCAGACATACCTTACGCGAAGGTAATGTTGTTGCACATCATCTGGCTAAGGATGGGCCGACCCATTTCGAAATCTTTAACAGGTCAAGTGAATTGCCCATATCTGCCAGGCAAGCCTATACCATGGATTTTTATGGATTACCTTCTTTTAGATTTTTATAATTTGTATTTTTTAAATTGGGTTATTGTCCCCCACTGTCTGTTAATCTGCTCTCCGGAGGGGTTTTGGTCCTGTCCCCCCCTCCATCTGTATCAAAACAAAGTTTTCTAATAAAATCTGGTAAATGTCCCCCGGCATTTACCCCACTGATTTTGGTGGTTGGCCTTCCGGGGTAAAAAAAAAAAAAAAAAAAAAAATACTTCAACATACATAATATATCTTATAAATTCTTTGATCTTATAATATATGAATATATATATATATATATATTAGAATGAGATGCACGACAGATTATTAATATAACTAATTAGATTAACTATTCAAGTTTGAGTAATTTTTACTTAATTTTTGAAATTTTTAGCGTATCATGAATTTGATTTAATATATTGATTTTTAATTATTATTTAGAGATAAACATTATGTAGATTCAATTGGTAACAACTTCCCACAAATAAAAATACAAACTAGCTAATTAGGTTGGGGCAGGTCATGGGTCAACAAGTTTGGACCCGTGCAGGTCACGGGGCGGGGCGGACCCGCCCCGACCCATTGCCATGCCTAGGAGCTTTGACATTTATATTTATAATATGAGAAAGTTGTCTAAATTACAATTAGTCCTAATTTAATACTCCGTATTGGGCTATTATATATACGTAGTATTATAATGCGTATATACTTTTTCTTAATTTGGCAAATCCAATCAATATAAGAGAGAATTCCCCAAATAGGAGTAAAAGATAGGCAAAATGCAAAAATAGGAGTACCATGTTTTGAATAGGAGTAACTTTAGTGTTTAGACAAGTATATCCCTACCCAAGTCCCAACAACTTTCTTTAATAATTAAAACATATATAAAAAGAATAACATTAATTTATAATAAAATTGTAAACAAATGAAAAAACACAAAAATATATCCAATAAAACATATTTCGTATTAAATAAAATTAATAAAAATAAAAATTATTAAAATAAAAAATATTAGATAAAAAACTAAAAAATTAAAATTAAAAAAAAAAACTAAAAAAAAATATGTACGCGTCTGCCGCCGCCTCAACAACCTCCCAGCACCACCAGCTCCGACCACCGAAAAAAATGCCAACATTTTTCCGAAATGCCATCATGATGGCAGATTTTGAAAAAATTTGGCATTTTCAAAGAGCAAAACTGCCATCTTTATGACATTTTCAAAGAAAAATGGAAGTTTTAACATAAGATGGCATTTTTTCCGCCGATCGGAGGTGACATTGCTAGGTGATGGCCGAGGTTGCGGCAAAGGCCTGCATAATTTTTTTATATTTTTTAATGTGGTTTATCTATTTTTTATTTATTTTCAAAATTTTTTATTTTTTTAAAAAAATATTTTTTTTAATTTTTATTATTTCAATATATTTTTTCAAATATTTTAGATTTTTTTTATATTTTATTAGGATCAAATAAGTCATATTTTAGAATTAACTAGGTTAGGGGTAGTAAGGGTACAAAATTAATGTTTACTCCTATTGAAAGAAGTTTTAAATTTCACTCTTATTTGTGCAATTATGTTTATGTTTACTCCTATATTGGGCAATTTCTCTCAATATAACCATTCTGAATAATTTCAGCAAATTTAAACAATACTCAATCTACTTATTTTCTATATCTCTCTGTTCTCTTATTGTGTCTTTTATTACGTACTTGGGTACTTGTTTCCTCATTTCTGTTCCAAACAAAGCAAAAAGATGCCGAACACGGAGTAATACTTCGCATGCTCGGAATTGAGAGTACTTCTTACTATTCCTTTCACATGTCTTCTTCAGGATCAGTTCTCACATGGGCGACTGGTGTAATTCATTAAAAGATGGGCTAAACTCCCCTAATATATGCTGTACGAAGTATTTAGGAGTATTTAATTTGACGGAACTTAAGACACGTCCTGATATTGCTAAATTTATTTTTGAATGGATTGATTATAAGAAGTGCTCGGACTGCGTGGACTGGGGCCGGGCCGAGACTGGGTGGGCTCAGGCTTAAGGATTGCAGGCCCGGTACCGGCCCCGGGTTTGTACCGGGTCCAGGCCAGGCCCAAACAGTACCGGGTTAGGCCGGGCTTGGGACACGACTGGACATTAGATTAAAAAATAGCGCAACCAAATCGGGCGGGCCGGGACCAAAAAGTCGAGCCCGAAACCCGCTCTTATAGTCACCGGGCCAGGCCCCATGATGGGACCGAGCCTATACAGTAACGGGACGGGCCTATACAGTAACGGGACGGGCCTAAATAGTACCGGGTCTGGGTCGGATCGATCCGTCTTAGTCCATCCCTAAGTGCGGGTATGTTGTGTTTTTAATCTAAGGGTAAAATTTGTCTATAAGGCGGGGTTTTTACACATTAAATTAGGATTACGTCAAACTCGAGATTACAAAAGCTTTGTGTACACAAATAATGAAACATGCATTCCTAAAATAAATGTAACTATTGTAGTCCGACGGAGTGCATTAATATTTTTTTTTTATCATAAAAGAGCGGTCGTTATATTAAAATCAAGAACAGATATAAGACAATCTTTAGACAGAAATTACAGATCCAATCGTGAACCCTAGGAATAGACTTCGAGTCAGCCACCTCATATAAAGCAACATGACTCGCTAAACCTGAAAAGGACAAATTTAGGCCTAAAGCGATCAGAACCGAAACCCTGCCTATCAAAAGAACTTCAAAAACCCAAACATTCAAACCAAGTCTACTCTGACCAAAACAGAAACAATTGTTACTAAAGAGAAAATAATATTTGAATAAAATCTTTCCACAAATCTCTTCCGGGTATGGAGGTGGTTCTGGAGGAGGACGAACTCCTTCAATATGGGTGAATACCAACTCCACCACCGTCGGAATGAATGACCAAGGCTTCACGATCCAGTCTCGATACAACCTCTTAGTCACACCTAGTTCATCTGCCAATACTATCTCCTTCGATGTAGTTGCGATCCAAAGCATTAGAATACTTAAAATCAGTATAATTTGCTGCTCCAACCCCATGTTTATAGGGGCGATGGAAAATCTCAACCTCTGCAAAGAGGGGAGACGGCCGCTAGGTTTCTCTCTAGAGTGTATTAATATATGGAATAGTACTTTAATACAGCTTAATATATGAAGTATAATGTAGCTTTATTGTACTCTTTGTATAATACGGAGTATAATAATACGATAGTATATGGAGTAGTACTTTAATATTGTCTTGATCGGTGTTGGGGGTCACACGAATAAAGTGTCATCCTTTCTCAAGTTGTGCACTAAGTTGAAGATCCTTAAAAAAACTCTTAAGATCCTAAACCAAAACAGCTTTGCTAAGCCGTAAACTCGACAAGGAAATCTGCTAATCTTCTCATTGATGCTGAGACGCTTCTTTTATCAGCAGAAAGCTAAGGTGACTTATCTCCTTGATGCCGATAGGAGCACAAAGTACTTCCATGCTATCGCGAAGAAAAATGTCACTAGATCCTCTATATCTTTCCTAATCAAGGAGGATGGTACCACTACCACCTCTATGCAGAAACTATCTCAGGAATTCCCTGGATTCTATAGTAATTTATTTGGATCAACCATTGATTGTGAGGAGCCCAGACATGATCTTGTTAAAAATGGGAAAGTGATAAATAGCTCTATGGCCATTTCTTTGTTAGAACCAATCTCAGATCAGGAAATCAAGAGTGCTCTCTTTGATATTGGTGATGACAAATCTCCAGGACATGATGGTTACTCTGCTGCTTTTTTTAGGAAGGTATATTTCCGGTCAGATATCTTGGAATTCCATTGGCACCTTTGCAAGTTTATGTGGCCCAGTTTGACCCAATGATCAATAAAATTGAAGCTTATGTGGCTAAATGGAAATCAAAGGTTATGTCATACGTTGGAAGAGTTGAGCTAATAAGATTAGTGGTGCAGGGTGTTCAACCTTTCTGGCTCCAATCTTTTCCAATGCCTATTATTATCATAAATAGGATTGTCTCAACCTGCAGAAATTTCTTGTGGGATGGAAGGAAGGCTAAAGTGACTTGGGGTGATATATGCAAACGTATGGAAGAGGGTGGACTGGGTCTAAAGGATGTAAAAATCTGGAACAAAGCACTTCTCACTAAAACTTTGTGGAATATCCAGTCCAAGAAAGACTCATTATGGGTAAAGTGGTTTCATGAATAATTGTTCCAAAAGGTTGAATCGCCAACCCCAAGCGCCCCCACGCCCCGACCCGATAAGACTTTTTGGGAGGATGTAAGTCACGGTGACTCAGTCAGTAGAGTGGCTGTAGGCCCATACACCCGTGCGCACCAGATGCCCAGCCTTATTTCAGGTTCTGTGACCTCCACCCGGTCGCTGCGGGGATTCGAACCTTGGTCATTGTTCCAAATCTCCCACCACTCAACCAACTGAGCTACCCGTGCGGGTAAGTGGTTTCATGAATAATATCTAAAGGGGTTGTCTATTTGGGAGTGGAAGCCTAATTCTCGTGTTTCTCTTCTGATGAAAAAACTAGGGAATGTAAAGGGTGATCTGCTTTTTAGGTTGGGGGGACCTAATCATATAGGTGCTCACTTCCATAAATGGTGCACTAGCGGGAAACCATTGGCCTCTTGCCTTTATGACATTTTGAGAATAAAGAGTCCTAATAAGTCATGTATGAATTTGATTTGGAAGAGGTATATACCTCCCAAATTCTCGTTCATTGCTTGACTTTATTTCAAGAATAAACTAGCTACAGTAGACTTCTTGTGGTACATGAATATTGATAATGCAGTTTTTTCATGAACAATTGGAAACTATTGAACACCTCTTTTTCAATTGTTGCGATACTGGTTTAGTATGGAGAGATATTTGTGCCTGGGTTGGTATGAAAAGGGCTGGGTTTACTCTATCCAGTGTGGTTAAATGTTGCAAAAAAGATTTTGGAGGAGCTCGGTTAAGAAGTAAGGCTGTAACATTGGCGTTTTGTGCCACCATTCACACTATTTGGAAGGCTAGAAATGAAAATATCTTTCCATTGACTGACCAGGGTTTGACTATGCAGATAAAGGTTGCTACTTATAAAATCCTATATAGACTTTACCCTCCGGAGATGATTGATTTTTTATTCTTTATTTTAGCTCTAGAAAGGGATTCTGTTATTTTTGTTATGCAGGCTATGTTCGTCTGCTGTGTTTTGGACTTGTTAGCCTTGTTTGGTATGCCAAATATGGTTTCTTTGATTGTTTTGAGTGACAATGGTAATCTGGTTTGTTGTTTGATTTTGCTGGGGTATGCCCCTCTGTTGGTTTGTTATACATATTTACAGTTCATAAAAAAAAACTATATTAATGCATGGAGCAGTACTTTAATACAATAGTTTACTATCAATATAACGAATACAACAATTAATCAAATACGGAGTATGACGTCATAGGGGAAAAAAGAAAAGTGAAGTAAATCTTGACTCAGGTAAACTCTTTTGTAAAGTTTAACAATTATTTTGAAAAAGAGTAAAACATATTCCCTTCTCTCTAAATAGGAGTCTATGTTTAGTACTACTTACTCCCTCCATCTCCTTTTAAATGTCCCGTTTTATCATATTGGGATGTCCCTATTTAATTGTCTCATATCTTATTTGGTAAAGTTTGTGTGACTCAAAATCATTCTTACTTTATCAATTAATATCAACCACACAAACCCATTTTTTTTAAAACTCGTGTCACCCTCCTCCGGGACATTTAAAAGGGGACGGAGGGAGTATTTCTTAAATAGAATTAAGTGCGGAGTATTAGGTAGTACATTTCTATGTATCTCTAATATAAGTAATTGCTCCTAATTCTCTTGTATAATCAAAGTTTAAGGCGGCGGCAGCCCAGTGGCAATGGTAAGAAAAACTCATACTACCTCCGTCCCGGAAGACTTTGCCAAGTGCAAAGTAGGTGAGAAATAAGAATAGTAAAAGCTGTGTGGTTGAGATTTGTACAGAGCAGAGAAAATTATGCAGGACCCCAAATTAGTTGCTTTAATAAAAAAGTGGCAAAATTTTTTGGGATAGCCAAAAAGGCAAAGTTGGCAAAGTCCAATATTTAGGAAATTTTGAACTTCTAGTATGTGAATTATCTCTGAAATCTAAGAGGACAGTAGAATTGGAAGGAATGATATTTCTCCGTAAAAAATTCAAATTATTGATCCAAGGCAACCGGTCCCCGTTTTATAAGTTTTCCAAGAGCGTGCTGGCAGAGCAAAAATGGGATTCAAATATGAAATGTCACTCTCTTCAAATCTATGCACTATAATAACAAATGTCCCCTCCAAATATAAATGCATCGACCCATCAAAAGGTTTCCTCTTTAGACATTGACCACCACAGTTGTTTTACATGTCTGTAGGGCCTGTACAAGGACCAACTATGCAGTGCAGATAGAAGAAAAAAATTCATGCTACACCAAACACCCAAAAATTTGGAATGGATCTTGAAAGCTCACAATTCAATGTAAGGCCACACCTAGAACTCGTTTGGTAGTATGAAAATCGGCTTATTTGGTTCTGCTAAAATTTATGAAGTTCTGGCAGTAGTGGCTGGTTCTGTTGATCTAAGAAAAAAATATTTTCAAAAAATATTTTATTAATAAAATAAAGAAAAAATTATATGTAAAAATAACTAAAATGGTCATCTACAGTAACTTCAGCCAATACAGCCAGAAAAGTAACTACAATCTTACTTTTTCTGCTTATTACAAAACTCAGCGCGCGAAAGCAAAATTTACGTGTTTGGTTAAAAAGTTGGCGGACAAACCGAAAAATAGTGTTGCCAAACGACCTCCTATTTTGCTTTACTGATTCCATTTTTCTTTTATTCCATTTTGAATTTTGAATGTAATACATACGGAGTAACAATCTAAAATATTAAATATTGTTGGGGTTATGGAACCAGACCATGAGCTTGCCAATTCCAGACATAGGAGTAGAGGCCAACGATCTCGATCAACGAGTCCAAGCTCAAGATTAGTGTTTCGCTCGCTGACAAGATCAATTGGTCCATCGAGCAAGGAACTCAAAGCGTCTCAACCAACCGGGTTCAGCTCCTCTCCATTTCTTTCTCTCCATTTCCCCTCCATTTCTTTTTTACTTCCTATCTATCTCTACCTTTTTCTCTATCCTACTCACCAACCTACCCCACCCTTAATTCTCTCCTCTCTATATCTCTCATACTGGAACTCTCCAGTTACTGAAGAGGATCCAAATTCCAACCAACAAGCCCAACAAGTAAAGCAAGTCCAAGAGTGCCGACTAGCCAACCCGACCATCCTACTAGCCCTTGAGAGCTGACCTACCACTACTAGCCCAACTGAGAGGTGACCTATGAACCCAGCTAAGAGCCAGCCAGCCTACCAACCCAGTAGAGAGCCATGAGCCATCCACTATCAAGGAGCCAACCACTAGCTCGGTTAGGAGTCGGCCTACCAGCCCAACAAGGAGCGAGCTCAAGCGGCCGTAGAATAAAAACAGAAATACATCTACTACATAATTAAAGATGTAAAATAAAATATTGTCTAGTTAAAAATGAATTAACATGTAGCACAAATCATATTGATTTATAGTGCCAAAATAGTTGATAATTTCAACTAATGTGTACACATACTGATGCATGTTACATGTACATAAATTGAATGTAACACCCTGATCATACACTTGTTATTCATTTTATAGTGCAAAATAGTTGATAAAATAGTTGAATAGTTGACAATTTCAACCAGTGTGTACACATATTGTCATATTGATACACGTATTTTTGTACGTGTATCAACTATTCAACTATTTTATCAACCTTTCTGTCTATATAGACAAAATACGTTTTGTGTATAAGTGTGAAAACGTCTTCCGTTCTTAAATAAATGGAACGGTCAACATTTCACACTTGCTGAGACACAACTTTGACCATTAATATATATAAATTTATATTGGTAAAAAAATTTAAAAAATTAGATATTGAAAATTTACAATGAGACAAAATTAACCATATTTTTTTCATAAAAATATATTCATACATTAATAAATAAAACGTAATCAAAATAGAACATGTGAATAATGTAAAATTTCATATGTTGCATTTATTTAATGTAAAAATATATTCAAAGCTAACATACACTCTGGTACCACGTACCCGGACTCCTGGAGTGTTATTTTTACGAAGGATATGTTGAGAGGAGAGAGTGGGGTCGAGTGTGTGTTCGGGATTGATTAAGAAACAAGCCATTGACAGTTGACAGGACTAAACACACACATGTGCAACTCAGGAGCTGGATCCCATCCAAATTTAAAACAATTTTTTGGCACAACTGGATGGAAATTTGAAACAAAATGCCTTGCACTTTGACTTATACTCCATATATAGTTTAGTTTTGTTTCAAAAAAAATTCTCATTTACGTTTTGGAGTTATTTAAAAAAATAATCTCTTTTCTTTTTGAAAAATTTTGAGTGACTAACATTCATTTAACTGTCTTTCTCAACCATAATCACAATCACATATTTTCACTTTATTCTCACTTTCTTAGACTCTAATTTAAGTCAAATCGGAAAGAATTATATGGGACATATGAAGTACCAAATATTATTTTTTTAAACATTGCAGAGTATTATTTTAGCATGGTGGTATACAATATTTCATTATTTATATCAATATGGTAATCACGTCAAAGATTGGCAGTAGACACCATGGAAGAAACAACGATCGTCATGGATGTCAATAATAATGTTAAAGTTTCACAGCGGAAAATTGAGAAGTACTAGTAATAGTCATATATTAAGACATTTGCTAATTCTCCTAGTGTTAACATGATATTAGAGTCAAATCGATTCATAACCATGATATGGGTCCTTTATAAAAAAACGATGATTATAAACACGATCCAGACGAAGTGTCTGATTAACCTTTCAAGATGAAACTCCAAATTTTAACAAATAATGTATTTGTTAGATGAGGCAGTGGCCCTAGCAGGGGAGATGACGACTAAGGTAAAGGGTAATGTTGTATTGGACAACTTTTACTTTTTTATGCGGAGTATAAGACTTAGGACACATTTGTTTCATGAGTTACTAAATGGTGCTTATTAAGACTCGCGTTAATAAGCAGTGTTGTAAGCTCGTGTTTAGTTTAAATGATTTAAAACACCGTTTAACATTAAAATGTCCAAAATAGCCTTATACATATATAGACACACAAACATTCATGAGCACAAGCATATAATATATGTGTGGTCACCTCGTACGTGTACCCGTACCCCTAACCCCTAACCCCAAAACTGTACCCCCACCCTGTACCCCCTACCCCCAATTCCACACCCTTGACCCCCACATCTACCCTTACCACGACCTTACCATCTACCCCTACAACCCTCATACCCATACCCATACCCATACCCATACCCATAACCCATACCCCTAACACATATCCTACTCGTAGGGGTGGGGTTGAGGTAAGGGTTGGTGGCATGGGGTAAAGGCGTAAGGTCGGGGTAAGAGGTACGTGTGGGTGGGGGTGGGGTACGGGTAGGGTGGGGTCGAGGTAAGGGAAGATGGTAGGGGTAAAGGGGTAGTGGACAGGGTAGAGAAGGGGTACAATGGGGGTGGTGTGGGGGTGGGGATAATGGGCAGGGTTGCGGGGTGGGGTAGGATGGGTGGGGTCGAGGTAGGGGAAGGTGGTAGGGGGTAAAGGGGTAGGGTCGGGGTAGGGGGGTGGGTGGAGTATCGGGTGCGGCCGAGGTAGGGCCATGTGGTAGGGGGTAAAGGGGTACGAGGGTGGGGTAACGGGGTGGGGTAAGGTAGGGGTAAGGTACGATGGGGGTAGGTGGGTTAGGGTGTGGTAGAGGTCGGGGTAAGGGGGTAAGGGGTATGCGAAGGTAGGTGGGGGTAAGGTAAGGGTAAATTCGGGTAAGAATAGGGTAAGGGCAAGGGGTAAGGGTAAATTCGGAAACTGAAAAAGTTTAAAGTATCTCTTAATTAATACATGGAGGATGGTAATGCTTAGTAAGTAGCATTTTAAGCACCTTTTTCGGTTAGTAAGTAGCTTTTTAAGCAACTATCGTGTTTACTTCATCTGTTTTACTAACCTAACTGTAACTTTAGCAGCGAAGTGTCGAAGTAAACACCTTAGAATTTAATTTAAGGCTAACCGCAACTCATCCCCGTCAATAAATTAAATTTACCACTATTTTATACGTATTCAGTCTGTCAATTCAATTTTTACTGCAATCGTCCATCTTCAATACATTCAACCATCAAAGTTTTCTTTAATTAAAACCTTCCTTTTATTCTAATAAAATAATTTTGTGTTAATCATTTTCTTACGAATAATTATGATATTACTAAGATAAAAATAAATAAAATTAGAGTTTAATTATTTTTTATTGTCAATAAATACCAATTTTTGAAAAAAATAACCGAAAGATAGTAAAAAGTTATTTTTGTCATGAGACCTTAATTTTAGCACTTGGGTCTACTTAAAAAAAATAAACATAAAAATCCAACTGATGAAACTTCAAATCTTTATTCCTTAAATTATACTCCCTCCGTCCCGTTAGAATGTTCCCGGTTTGACCTACACACATATTAAGGAAATAAACTTAGCAGGGGGTAAATTTTACTGTTTGGACACTGTTTGGACACTGTTTGACACTGTTTGACACTGTTTTGCACTGTTTGACACTGTTTTGATGTAGGATAACTTTCCATTTAGGGAAATGAGAACTTTCCATTGGGACATCCAAAAAAGGAAAGTGGGAACATTCCAACGGGACGGAGGTAGTATATATATGTGTAGTATATATATGATATTGGTGTCATGAAAGATCATAAAAAATTATAATTTTTGATATATTTTTTATAAAAATCAGAGTATAAATAAAAAGGATATAATACATTTAAAAAATATGGGGTTTTTAATTTTCCTAACCCCGGATTTTGGAATCCATGGGCGTGTGCTGCTGACGCAACTTCTCTCTCCGTGAATGAACCGCCTAATTGCCACTGCATTGGTACTATCCAACCAATTTGACACCCACAAATACCTTGATTGCAGCAAATGTAGGAGTGAAAGCATCAAAATTGGCTTTTCACCTTGAGGTTTGCAGGCAGCCCAAGGATAACGGTATCAGGTCAATACCTTTTCCTATCATCAAACATGATACTTTTTTTTGTGTACACTCTTACATTGTTTTGTTCCTATTGGAGGGATTTTCTCTATTTTAATGGTCTAGTTATTTTAATTCCTCACAAAATAGAAATGTAACTACAATATAAATAAAGATATAAACATAAGTATAACTATGAGTGTACAGATGAAACTTCTTGTCAGGCCGGCCTGACGGGCTGCCCCGTCCGGCCGAGCCCGTTTGGGCACCTTCCCGATGGAATTTTTTGATGAAATTTTTTGAGCATGTTCCTCATCAAGTCTAGTTTGTCCATACCAAATTTCAGCTCAAAATTCAATCGGGAAGGTCGTCAAATGATTTTTGCAAGTTAACTGGTCCGGAATATGTATTTTCTGGACCAGTTAACTTGCAAAAATCATTTGACGACCTTCCCGATCGAATTTTGAGCTGAAATTTGGTATGGACAAACTAGACTTGATGAGGAACATGCTCAAAAAATTTCATCAAAAAATTCCACCGGGAAGGTGCCCAAACGGGCTCGGCCGGACGGGGCAGCCCGTCAGGCCGGCCTGATGAGAAGAGCTCTCTGAGTGTACAATATGTATACAATAAAAATACAAAAGTAAGCAAACACGTGAACATAGACATATACGTACCTCTCTGTGTGTCTCTAACTATTGTTTTAATGTACCCCGCAACAAACTTTAATAGTTTAATGTACTTCTTTTGGTCATTTTTAACAAAATGATAGGTTATCTAAACACTAATTCTTTATTTCATACGGAGTACAACAAATTACTCCATCAGTCCCAAAATTAAATATGAGATTTGACTTCAAGGGCTTTTTAGGTAGAATAGGATATCAAGCTGGTTTTCCAAAAATGCCCTTGGGTTATTACAAGATGTAATAGTGTAATACCGGAATGGGTACAAATGAAGTAAGTGAATAGTGAAATGGGGTAACACATCAATTCAATAAAATTATGTGAGAGTAAAAGGATAAATAAATAAATAATACACCTACCAGATATAAAAAGAAGTTGGAAGTAAGAATTTTATTTTGAGACATCCGAAAAGGAAAAGTGGAACTTAATTTTGGGACAGGTAATAATAGAAAAGCAGGGAGTACCACTTCATCATACTACTAATAATTTCACTTTTGATCCTAATTATGAAGTTGACAAACGCTACGTCAAATGAAGCTTTTGATCAATACTTGAGTTTTACCAAGGAGTTCCTACTCAGTTCAGGATGACTATATATAGTCAAAAGAGCTATGCCTACATACATACATAGTCATTAACAAATACTACGTATTGATTAGTGTAGTTATGTTTCATAAATCTGACATCTTTGTTACAAGTGCAACTGTTTCTGTGTCTTCCTTTTCCACATATGACAGATTGGAACCGATGGTCGTGCCATTTGTGGCGACGCTTGGGCTCTCCCAAAAGTGCCTCCTCATTGACCTAAGTTGCAGTTCAATGGAGGAGAAACCTGGGTCTGAGATTATGTCTTGAACAAGGGTGTGTCCTTGCAGCATGCTCACCACTTGAGTCATTGTTGGTCTGAGAGTTGGGGATGCATTAGTACACAAGAGCGCAATGTTTAGCATTACCATAGCCTCTTCGGCTGAGTACTCAGACCCCAACTCTGGATCGACTAGCTCAAGTACATTTCCCCTCTCTTGCAAAACATAGGCCTAGTTGAAGAACCAAATGAGGAAACCAGTCATTATATTCAAATTAATATGTTTAATTAATTAATGCGAATATAGTACAAACAATGCTCAGAAAAGAGCTAGGCACTAGGAAGGCAAGATGTGGCTGTTGGAGGAGATCAGTTTTGAAACTGGTCTATTAGTTTTTAGTCTCAGTCAGGTCGAGTTGCTCGTTTGAATGTTAAGTGCTTTAATACCTTATTAGAACTATCTATAAGGTCAAATGATAGCACAATAGGAGTAGCAAAATGACTTATATGTTGATTGGTTAATATCATTATATTTAGAAGCTGCTAGAGACCAAGGCATAGCGCCTGAGCCGGATTAGGCAGAGCATAGATAGGATTAGGCGATGTGAAGTACTGTAGGATTCTAGGAGTTTGGTGCTGAATTATTGCTAGAAAATATTCCACTTGTGCTCCACGGACGACGGTTATGAGATCACTTCTTAACTTTCAATTTGTTCCACTTTTGAGGCACACTTAGGGTCTTTGTCATGTGTGGGTTTTCTGATCACTTATCTGGCCAAACATCAACAAAAGGAACACTAAGAAGGTGTTTACTTCACTGCTAAAGTCACAGTTAGGTTAGTAAGACAGGTGAAGTAAACACGCACACTGCTTAAAAAACCGCTTACTAACCGAAAGAGGTGCTTAAAGTGCCGCTTATTAAGCATACCACCCCCCATGTATTAATTAAGCGGCACTTTAAGCTTTTTCAGTTTCCGAATTTACCCCTTGCCCTTAACCTATTGTTATCCCTGCCCCACCTCGACCCCAACCCCACCCTACCCCCGACCCCAGCCTACCCTTACCCCACCTACCCTGACCCTACCCCCCGACCCCACCCCTACCCCACCCCTACCCCCACCTACCCTACCCCCACCCCCGACCCCACCCCGACCCCTACCTAACCGACCCACCTACCACTACCCCGGCCCCACCCTACCCCTACCTTACCTGTCCGACCCCACCCTACACGTACCCCCCACCTTACCCCTACCCTACCCCATTACCAGACACCCCCTACCCTACCTAACTGACCCCCACCCTACCCTTACCCCCACCTACACTACCCTTACCCAGACCCCACCCCTACCCTTACCCCACCTACCCTACCCCTACCCGACCCCACCTTACCCCTACCCCTACCCTGACCCAACCCAACCCTACCCCCGTCCTACCCCCTACCCGACCCCACCCTACCACTACCCTACCTACCCAATCCCACCCCTACCCTACTTACCCGACCACACACCCCGCCTCAACCCCCACCCTACCTACCCGAACCCACCCTACCACTACCCGGGTTGGGTAGGGTAGGGGTAGGGGCGGGGTTGGGGTAAGGTGGGGTCGGGGTGGGGTCGATGTGGTAAGGGCCTATGGGGGTAGGGGCCTATGGGGTCGGGACTCGGGAGTAGGGTTGTGGTAGGGTGGGGACAGGTTAGGGTGGGGTCGGGTAGGGGTAGGGTCGGGTAGGTAGGGTGGGGTCAGGTAGGTAGGGTAGGGGTAAGGGGTAGGGGTAGGCGGTGGGTGGGGTCGGGGTAAGGTAGGGTGGGTAAGGGGTTAGGGGTATGGGTACACATATTATATTATATACTTGTGTTCATGAATGTTTGTGTGTATATATGTATAGGGTTATTTTGGACATTTTAATGTTAAGCGGTGTTTTAAACCGTTTGAAGTAAACACGGTCTTACAACATTGTTTATTTTATGCGCCGCTTATTAACACGGGTCTTAATAAGCACCGTTTAATAACCGGTGAAGTAAACATGTCCTAAATTTGGCTGGATAAGGAACCAGAATGACTAAAAGTTGTAAGAGACTCGTGATAATGTACCAAATGTGGGATACTTGTTACTGTTACGGAACTGCAACAAATCAAAGAAAACCAGAAATTCCAGTTACCCAGTCTAGAAGATAAACATATTCTTCCTTTGGCCTGTAGTTGGTATTGCTTTTTCCACTGATGATTTCAAGAGCGACAACCCCAAAGCTGTAGACATCTGCTTTGCTAGTTAGACAGCCACGCATTGCGTACTCAGGAGCCATATAACCTCTGCATAATCAAGCGGCCAGGTTTCTCGTGTGAATAGCTCTAGAAAATAAAGCCACAGAATGGTACAAATAGAAAATATCAAAGCCATAAGATGACCTTACATGGTCCCTGCAATCCGGGTGCTAATGTGAGTGTTTTCGTCCTCATGAAGTTTCGCGAGGCCAAAGTCGGATATTTTAACATTCAGGTCCTTGTCAAGCAAAATGTTGCTGGTCTTGATATCTCGATGAACTATCTTCAAGCTTGATCCTTCATGAAGGTATGCCAAACCTCTAGCAATTCCCAAACAAACTTTTTTCCTTGTAGGCCAGTCTAATTTAATCTTGTATGTTATATCCTTCCCTATCAACAAAAACCAAAGGAAGAAGAAAACAGATACGGAGTATCAAATTTGGAAATGCCCACAAAACTGCCCATTAATGGATTCTGAAGGATGTATTATTCATCATACCAAATAGAGCTCGGGACACACAATTGTTTTCCATGTACTCATAGATTAGCATTAGTTGGTTGCCTTCAACACAGCACCCATATAGCTTAACAAGATTTGGATGTTGCAGTGCTGATATCATGCCTATTTCATTCAGAAATTCACTAGTTCCTTGTTTTGACTTTGACGATAATTTCTTCACAGCAACTGTCGTTCCATCTGATAATTGTCCCTGCATCATCAAGGGGAGATTTATTTAATGAAAAACTAATAATAGCAAACTACGGGCGTGTTTGGCTAAGCGTTTTAATACAACACAAAACAGTTAAAATCAAGAATCCACAAATCTCAGTTTCTTGATTTGTATGCCGTACATTGTTATTTTTGGACAAGTCGTATAATAGACTCATTCATCCTATTGAATCATTTTCACTAAAAATATGTCCAAAAATAAGCTTCAAGACATGCACTTTGTACTTCTATAGGATATTAGTTTTGTTGGATTCAGAAATAACCATACCTTGTAAACTGAACCAAAACCACCCTCCCCTATCTTGTTTTCGGCATCAAAGTTCTTTGTTGCAGCTTTGATCTGTCGTAAGGTAAAAATTCCTGCTTGTAGATCCAAGCCTTTAAGATCTGCCAAAAATAATGTATTAACCTAAATTTTTAAAAGCTTAAGATATGCATCTCAAGAGACAATCTTTAAACATCTACGAGATTCCTCTAAAACATTACACACTATAAAGTTGTGCTTGTTGAGGTGATGACCACAGAAAATTATGGCTGTTTCACCCTCTTTACTGAAAGCAATCTGGTGTTATATAGACTTTATTTTAATGATGTGTTTACCTCTCTCTTCAGATACTTTTCTTTGCTTAGAGAGCACTGTATAGGCGAAGCCTAAGACCAGAAATGTAAAGCTCACAGCTCCAACTATAATTCCAACTAATTCACCAACAGGAATGTTTTTATCATCATCGATTTTTGGGGGCGTGAAATCTGCAATAAAATAATCCTTACTCCAATTCTTTAATAATGTTTTTGAAAAGATAAAAACAAAAAAGGTACCAAAACGGAAAAAGAAAATTGCAAGAGCATACTGGGGTCAACTGATATTGCAGCAACTGAAGGGCCATAAAATCCTCTTTCAGGTATTCCCGTTGTTCCTTTCCCAGCCCAGTAAAAATGGACCTTCAGCGTTTCATTTGTTATGGCTACAGTGAAACTCTTTACTATGGGTTTACCCGGTCCTCCTGCCTCATTCTCAATGTTAAAATCCTTCAACACCAGCTTTTCCTATATGAGAAGACACAAAACTTTATGCTGACAATAATATGACAATAGAAAATATGAAAAAATATATGGCTTAAATAAATATAATGGAGCAAAAGGAATTATATTAAAGTGGTCGTATTGGTGTTCTTTGCAGTAACTATAACGAGTAAACTGATTTTCAATGTGCGTTGTAGTCATAGATGAAATTTTTATAGCGACTTTAGTGATCATGTAGTTATAATTTTGTCCATAAGTTCTGTTTTAGTAATATTATAAGAAAAACCTCATTAAATTATCAGGAGTAAAAAATAAAAGCTCTTCACTCCTCTAGTTTGTAAATTTACCTGCAAGTAGACATCAAATATACGCTTGCCGAGGCTGTTGAAAGAACTATCATTTGTAAATATAATCTCCGCAAAATGAAGTTTAACTGTGTAGTTTCCATTTATCATACACAATCCATAGTAAGTGAGAGAGAGGGGTGACACACGTGCAGTCTTATAAAGCTCAGAATCAACACTGGACACATTATGTAAAGGAGAGGTATTGGTATAAATATAGGAATCAGCATCCTTATCATTGTCCATGAAGTTTCCTGTGCTGCTAAATGCCCAATTTGGTCTTGAAGAGAACATTGAAGCACCTCGGGCTTCTAAGTCAGCATCATACATTGTTCCATTGCCTATAACTGTTTCTTTTCCTCCACAATTAATGTACAAGGCATAATTCACTGCTTACATTAAAGTTCAGAGTAATAGTTAGCAGAAAAATTGCAAAAATAATGCGATACTGTAAGTTTACAGCCTTTTGGAAGTGCTTCTCCACAAGATCAAAAGTGCTTTTGGTGGGACAAAAGCACTTTACATGTAAAAACGATGTTTGAGCGCCATTATGTTGGAGTAAAAGAACACTCGAATGTCTTTCTTCCGAGGTGTTTTTGGATAAATATTTATTCTGGGACTCAATTCAAAATAACTTTTTTACTGTATTTCCAAATATTAAAATATTATCTAGTAGAATGGATTTTATCAATATACTTTTTTCTTTAAAAGTGCATTTAACAAAAGCACATTCAAATGAGCTACAACTCCTATAAGTATACGTTTTTCAGGACTTCTCTGTTTTCTTAAAATGGCCAATACCCGAAGCTATGTTGACAACAGATATGAAACAGATAATTGTGTTTACTCACTCCGCGAGGATGGGCCAGAGCAAGGAAAGTTTTGCTTGAGGCATGGATGAACTCTGGTACTGGTTAGAGAATAGAAAATATTTCAACAACCTAATTATCATGCTTCAAAGAAGGTTCAATCACAATATAGCTTAAATGATTCTTCTTTGGAACATTTTAATTCTATAAATTGAAGAAAAAAGGTCTCAGGCAGAAGAATCTTACAAGTTTCCGTATGAGGAAAAGCTTTCAAGAAAGTTACTGGAGACATTATAGAAATTACAAAGAATGTTAATTAAATGACTTGGAAAAGAGTAATGGGGAACCAAAAACTTTCATTTAAGAAGAACTCACACATTTCCACTAGGACATTCCGTTGGTACTGAGCTTTGCATTGAAAACTTGTTGTAAGAAATATCTCTGTACCAGAAGAGCAATTTGTCAAGATTAAGAGAGTTTGAGGATAATACATTTTTCCACCTTAATAATTAGAAATAATGACAAATACGTGACTAAAATAAAGATTAATGAAAAAATGTGACTTCTATAGCGCAGTGATTGGCGGTATATTCGCAGACCATGGTGTGAACATGTGCTCAGATTTTTGTCTAAGACTCTACGTTTTATTTAGCGATATTACAATCGTAAGCATTGGCATAAATTTTATTAGTTACTCCTTACCAAACTTATTTCCATCATTTGCGATGTAGTCAAAGATTCACTATTTTCTGGCTTGGGAATATGATGGAATAAAGCAAAATGACTCACAAAACTGTTTGCGCTTCTTTGTTATGAAGCGCCAGTCAATCCATGCATTTTTCGACGCGATTTTCACCTTGGGTCATCCGGAAACAGTTATTTGTGCTTTATTACAGGGATAAGGCTGTGTACATCCGACCCCCTTACCCCACCAAGGTGGCAGCTTTTGCGGCACTGGGGTAGTGATGATGATGATGATGACTCCTTACTAAACTTGAATGTGGTTTACTCAATGAGAAGTAAACTTACACATTCTTGTTTGAGGTTAAAATCCACTCTGGTACATCTCCAGTAAGCTTGTTTCCTGTCAAATAGCTTCGAAGTATATACACAAAAATAAATGTCTATTTAGTGAAACAAATGGATGGAAAGCCAAGTACTTTGTCAACTCCTTACATGAAATCCGTTTTTGCTAGATGAACAAAAGAAGTTGGAATCTCACCGCTCAAATTATTAAAACTTAGGTCCCTAGATTCACCACAAGAAACAACCGTTAGTAACAAAAGAAAATGACGGGAGAGAGGTTCTTTATATGTGGTCAGATAGAGATAGTACGAAATGGTAGTTCAAAACAGTAGTTCATCTATCATTTTCCTTCTCTATATACCATCAAGATATAATCTAGAAAAATAATCTTCCTTTTCAAAAAAACTAGAAAAATAATCTTTTATTAAATATGGAGTACATTATAAGGATTATAAAAGTTACTCACAAATTTTTTAATTTCCTCACATTCCCAAGATATTCTGGGATTGGTCCATCTATTAAACAGCTCCTCAATATCCTGCATTTTAACCAGAAAATAAATGAATAAATAAAAATTTTGAGTCGTTTTCAAGGGAAATACAAGAGAAGGAACTCACAGTATCTTCAAGGATACCAATGGTTTTAGTTGAGGGAAACTGGACCGTCCCCCTTTCAAATCACTGATCCTCCTGAAAACTCATGAATAAACCTAATGTATTCATTCCACTTCTTTACTCCGTAATTCAATGGACGTGTAAAATACAGAAGGAAAAAGTTAAATCATCATACAGATCACTTAAAGCTGTTAAGTTGGAAATCGCTGAAGGTATAGGGCCCCGAAGTGAACAACCTTGAATGTGCCTGTAACATAAAATTACTCTTCATATCTGACAATATATATTTGTGAATGCTATCCTTGTAGAAATTTAAGCATGATCATCATGAAAAATATATTAATAAAGCAATCTTACAGTTTCTCAATTTTTGTCCAGCTACTGATGAAATCGGGTATCTGCCCATTAAAGTTATTGTCACTTATCCTCCTAAAAATATATAGCAAGAACAAAGAATTACCTACATTAACATGACACTCTTATCGCGATTAGAAAAGCTATAAAATATTGAATGCTCACACATCAGTTAAGTTCTTCAGCATGCCAAGAGTAGAAGGTAAATTTCCTGTAAAAGCATTTGATGACAGTACTCTAAAATAAATAATAAATAAAAACATTAGTAAGACAAACTAAATCCGAAGAAGCAACATTCATGAGTAAGGTGAAGAAATATTACAGCTTCTCAAGATGAACCAAGTTCCCAATTTCAGAAGGAATGGATCCGGAGAAGTTATTTCCTTCTATGCTCCTGTGAAAAGTAAATTGAAAATATAAAATCAGATGAAGCAACAAAACTTGATATTTCCAGATCACAGTTCAATGGCATTATTTACTTTTTAGTTCAACTCCCGTTAAAATTAATACAATGTCTGTTTTACTTCTGCATTTGTTTGTAGTACGTAAAATGTAATTTTCACGCATTCCGGTCCAGGGTTGGCATTTGCAAATGCTTTTTATCCAGAATATTTGAATTTGCACCCCATTATTTTATTTATTTTTACATTGCATTCACGTTTATCGTAATACTTGATTTGGCACGTTAGGAAAAAACTGGTTCCAAAGTCAAATATTGAGATTAATGTGAGGTGCAAACACAAAACTTTCCTTCTATTAATTACTACGTGGAATCATCAGGTGCAGGAATAAATAGAACACCACAGAAAACAACCTTGAAACCAACATAACTTTTCTAATGACTAAATGAGGAACAAAAAACTTGTGAACAACTGAACATGATAAGAAATCATTCACATACAGGTTCCTGAGAGTAGTGATTTTGGTGAGAACTTTTGGAAATGGGCCCGATAAACGGTTCCCCATAAGAGAACTGCAGGCACAATACAATTATGTTATATCGACAATTCTGAAAAAAAAAACAGATTAAGAGGCCGTTTGGCAACACTGTTTTTTCGGCTTATCAGCCAACTTTTTCACCAAACACGTAATTTTTGCTTGCGCGCGCTGAGTTGTGTAATAAGCAGAAAAAGTAAGGTTGGAGTTACTTTTCTGGCTGTATTGGCTGAAGTTAGTGTAGATGACTATTTTAGCTATTTTTACATATAATTTTTTCTTTATTTTATTAATAAAATATATTTTTAAAATAATTTTTTCTTAAATCAGCAGAATCAGCCAGTGCAGCCACTTCAGCCAGAACTTCATAAATTTCAACAGAATCAGCCAAAACAGCCGATTTTGATGCTACCAAACGGGCTCTAAGACTATCAAGACGGGAAATAATGATTACAGGTCAAGCAATTGCATTGATGCCCACTGTTGCGGAACCGTTCCATTCAGATAATTACGACTGAGATCCCTGGATAAAACAAACATGAAAACAATTCAGTTCATTAATGCACCATTATGAGGAAGTTAACAGAGATATCTCCATTGAATTAGAATCTCAACTTACAAGCTTTTGAGGTGTTGGAACTTTGCAAATTCAGGAGGAAGACTTCCTGTATAGTTTTGAGACTTCAGAGATCTGCAGTCATTTTTTCCACCATTGGTCAAGGCATGAAAACCCAGCGCAGGTTTTTAAAATCTTCAGCATTGAATTACACTAGTTTAGGACACCTAAGATGTCACTAGTATTAGTAATCATTTTGGAAACCCTACCCCAAACGTCACCTTAACTCATCTAGTATGATACTGTCCATTTTGGATCAATTGAAAAGTTATTTTAATCACTTCCTAAAAACTTAATAATATTAATATAGTTAGTTGGACATTTATATTACGGAGTAGCATAAATCAGTGATATATATTGCTATATGAATTGTTCAAAAAAAACATTGCTATAGAATAACATCCTCCAATAACTTTGTGAGTTTAGGGTTTTGTGTTAACAAATAATATTAACTTACTTGGTAAGGTTTGAATTGGATATACAACAATATCCAAGTCTTAGTCCACATATGAAATCGGATGGGAAGTATTAAACGAGATCAATTGTCTCCACGAATATTCTTTCTCTATTTTGCTTCATCCAATTCATGAAGATGCGGTGAGTTAATTCTGATTAGCCACGTATTGAATTGCACATTTAATCAGTTTAATAAATCCCAATTTCCCTGTTCTTTAAGACACGAAAATAATGACAAACAAGTTGCTCGCTATAATATGATAAAATTGTCAGTATTAATAATACTGACAAAGTAACCATAAGGTAAGTGACAAGGCAAATCGCATCAACTATAGAGCTGGAAGACGCGGCGGTGGCTGTTGAACGTTGACTAACTACTCGGTCAACCAAATCATTTAGCAGCCATGCCATCGACCTCCCCGGGGTTTTACCTCTTCTCTTCAATCTTGATGATGTGATGGTAAAGTACTCAAATGGTAATAAATAAATAAATAAATAAATAAATAAATAAATAAATAAATAAATAAATAAATAAATAAATAAATAAATAAATAAATAAATAAATATATATATATATATATATAAATTTCCAAAAAAATTGAGTAAGTAAGTAAATAAATAAATAAATAAATAAATAATAATAGCATATCATAGTTTTTTTTTTTGAGAATTTACCCAAAATAGGACTAAAAGGTTTGAAAATTCCAAAATATGACTTACATGTTTTTATTTCCAAAATAGGCTTATTTAATGCCATATTTTGGCAGTGCCAGAATTCAAACATGGCAGTATTTTTCAAACTTAGCAGTAATTACTCCTATTTTGGGAATAAAAAACATGGCAATCCTATTTTGGAATTTTCAAACTGTTTTAGTCCTATTTCGGGAACTTTCCCTTTTTTTTGACCAATCGCATATCATAGTTAGCAAATAGCAAGATCAATCCCAATTCCCAAACATGTAGATAATCTAGGATGTTTTCTTTTGGACTGTTTTCAGTCCCAGACCAGACCAGACTTAAACAGACCAGACCAGACCAGACCAGACTTAAACAGACCAGACCAGACCAGACCAGCAAATTTCAGTCCAAAAGAAAACATTCCTAGTCATTACGATATACCTCCACCGTCCCAAGTTAATCTATCTTTCCTTATTTATTAAACAAAACAATACTCCTTAGAGCATCTCCATTCATGCTCTCTAAATAAATGATTTTTTCATTACACATCATTGTCACATCACATGTATTTAATAAATTTGAAATAATCTGAAAGCTTAAAACTATTCATCAACAATAATACTCAAATAATCAGTTTTTTCCGGACATGCATTAAATGTAATTTAACTACAATCTGAAATAATCCGGGATTGGAATCTTGATACTGAATTTTCTTTTTCAATAATTTCATTAAATAATCACTCACTCACAATGATAATTTTTAAAATAATCTTACACATCATCCAATTGATCTTCAAATAATCATATGGATGGGGATGCCCTTACAAAACATTGTCACACAGTATCAAAATAGTGGCATACGGTGTCATTTTCTTAATATAAGTACAATATAACGTGGGAACATTGAATAGGGACGGGGGAGTACCTACCATACAATGGGGCAAGTGCCCATTTTAAGTAGGTATACTACTCCAAATTTTTAAAAAATACTACGTACTCCGTATGATCATGCATTAGTATGTACTCCCTATAACTCTAGATTACCGCCTCTCCGATCAAGACTTCCTGCATTTTCTATGGCCAGAATGCCACGTCATGATGACGTTATTAACTTGCTAAAGCAATTAATTGCAAACAAGATTTTTTTCTAGTTAATCTGAATTTAAGGTTATTGATTATTTTGAAAGGAATTCCAAAATGGTACCTTTGAAAATTGAAACCAATTAATGTAGTGAACATACTAACTTATTTCATTTACTACTCTAATAATTAGAGTATTAAAATGGCCCAAAATTGATAGTTGGGATGTTTTCTTTTGGACTGTTTTTAGTCTCAGACCAGATCAGACCACAGATACTAGACGTTTACCATACCACACCAGATCAGACCAGTAAATTTCAGTCCAAAAGAAAACATTCTTATACTACCATTTATACACTTACCTGAGAGCATTTCCATTCATGATCTTAACAAAAATGGTTTCTCTATTAAAGATCATTGTCACATCACATTTATTCAATAAATTTTAAATAATCTCAAATTTTAAAACTCTTCATCAATCATGATACTCAAATAATTAGTTTTTCTAGATCATGCATTAAATGCAATTTAACTACTACCTAAAATAATTCGTGATTCAAATCTTGATGCCGGATTATCTTTTCAATAATCTCTCACTCACAATGATATCTTTAAAATAATCTTACACATCATCCATTTAAACCTTAAATAATCTAAGGAATGGGGATGCCTTGACAATATTTGTTTTAGCCCAAGTGACAGAATTAAACATGTACTCCGTATTAACTTTGCTTTCATCCACAAGATTAGAATTAATTAAAAACTTGGAAAAAATCCCAAAATATGAGTTAAAAAGTTTGAGAAATCCAAAATACAACTGTTATATTTGTAAAGTGTAATACCCAAAATAGGAGTAATTATTGTCAAGTTTGGAAAATACTGTCATGATTAAAGCCAGATACTGCCAAAACATGGCAATAATTACTCCTATTTTAAGAATAAAAACATGATAGCTCTATTTTGGAATATACAAACATTTTTAGTCCTATTTAAGGTGATTTCTTCAAAAACTTTCAATAGAATACTACTGTATAATGCTTTTTTAATTAAATAGTGTGACACAATGTCATTTTAAAAGCATACCGACTGTAATGACATATTAATTTCCTAATTATTTATACCGATATAAATATGTCAATATTATTTCTGACAGTAATATGCCAATATTTATTTCTTAATTGTTTATGAACGCCCTAAAAATAAATAGAAAAATGTAAGCAAATACTCCGTATTAGAAAAGAAAATGTTAAATCCGAAAATATGGATTATTTTTCTTCCAAATTTATATCAGATTTTCCTCCTGATTCAATTTTCTAGCACTGATCCCCGTTCCAACAGACTCCTTTTGAATCCTAAAAAAAACTCATCTCCGTTAAGACCTTCATAATTTGGATATATAGTGCGTTTTATTAAACAAGTAAGGGAGTGTTTGCAACTGTTTCTGCTTAAAAAAAGCACTTTTGGAGAAGTAATGAAAAAGTGATTAGTACTTAGTAGTAAAAGTTGATAGTGTTTGAGAAAAAAGTGATTTTGAAAAGTAAAAGTTGATAGTATTTGGTAAAATAAGTGCTTTTTGTGTAATAGAAAAGGAAAAAGCACTTTTCACAGGCAAGCCGAGAAAAAGTAAAAAATTGGAAGTGTTTGGTAAATAAGTGTTTTTTTAAGGCAAAAGCTGAGAAGTGTTTTTTTTTAATTCTAACCGTTTGATCCCATCATGATTTCCGAACGTTCCACTCTGGGACAAATTGACACGTATTTGGATAGAAAGAATCAGTAAAGAAGAAGCATACATGGCAGTGACGTGGCAGACGGTGCCGTTACCGGCAGAGCAGTCGCAGGTGACGGTGGTTTCAAAGCTCTTTCTCAGAATCGCCGGACTCCAGGTCTCACTCCCATTGCAGGGATCCTTCCCGAAATCCCAGTCCGTCTTCCCCAATTTCTTAGCGATCTCCTCCAGCGCTGTCACTGCACCCAAACACCATCCTGGTCAATTTCCTGATCTGCAGAAAGTATACTCGGAAAAAGATTCTTGTTTTTCCGACAATGAAATAGCGCGCCGCCGTACCTTCCGGTGGGTGGAGCTTGGGAGTGGAAGCTGCTGAAAGAGAGGGTGAGAGGAGAATGAGGTGAAGAGAGCAGAGTATGGATAAAAATGGAAGCTTTTTAAAGAGAAGAAGAAGAAAAGATTGGGTCTTTTCTGTGTTTTCCATTTCTGCAGGTAGCTATTTCGGAAGGTTGAGTGTGAGCTGACCAGTCCTTCCTCCTCCTCTCCTCACCGCTGATTGGGTTTGTTCATTTATTTACTTATTTATTTTGAATTTTGATTATTCACATGTGAAAATGGAGAAAGGATGCGAGGCTTTATTACTCATTTAGAGGAAACCTTAACGCGTTAGATGGGGAGATGAATTGACCCTACGCCTCATTCTTTTGTTAATTACTAAAGGATTGGTACGTGTCGATATTCAATCATATCAAAATTTTAAAGTTGCTATTGCTTAAGATAGAAATTTAAAAATGGGGTTGCTATCATATCTTGTTTTATGTTTTTTGGTTTTCAAACGTTTTATACTTCCCTCATTTTTTAGTTGCAATGTTTAACATTTCACATTTGTCAATTCACATATTTGAGGGTTTAATGCATCAAACCCTCTCATGATATTGAAATTCAGCGCATTAATCCTCTGTGATTTGGAAAATGCGTCAAACACATATTTGACCATAAATATATCTTGATCTATATTAATAAAAAAATTAAAAATCAGATTTTGAAAATTTATAATGAGATGAATTGAATAATATTTTTTTTAAATTTTTTTTATATAAAATAATAGTGTAAAATGTAATAGCTAATACTAATTAGGAATCATTCCGTATTTTGGAAACTTATTATTCTATTATAAATACATCTCTCAGGACCCTCATTAGGGTAACCTGTGTCAATTATTCACATGGTATCAAGAGCCTACGAATCTAAAACCTAAAAAAAATTACTGCTACACTCAATGTCGGACGCCGCTATCTCCAGCGCCATCGAAACCCCTGTCTCCGATGTGAGTCAACCGACCACCACAGTCGTCGAGACCAGCGCCGCCGCAATCGATGCTCAGCTCTCCTCGCCGTTCTTGATCAGCGCCGCTCTGTCAACCGCTGTTGATTCTTCTTCCATCACAGGCTTCTCCTCCAGCGATGTCTTCTCTGGTGTGTCTCAGGCAGTGTTTCCAAGAGGTCCGTTGATTAGCTCCAGTATGTGGTCCTCGCCCACCGTTTTGCCGTTTCTTCAGACTCTCAGGCCGAGTTATTCCTCTGTTCCATGGCAGACGCTTCGGCCAGCGCCACAACATACACTGGCGCCTCCCTCCTCCCTGCCGGCCTCACAGTTCTTCGGCCCTACCTTCACAGGGTCTCCGAGAGTGGTTCGTCCTCCGGAATCGTCTATTTTTGGCAGTCCCATGGCCTCGTTGGTACAATCTCTACCTCCAATCTCTAATGTTAGTCAGATTGTGACCGTTAAATTAAAAGCTGTTGCAGATTATTTAACTTGGCGTACACAATTTGAATCGTTTCTGGTTTCACAAGGTCTTTTTGGTATGCTTGATGGTTCTATCCTTGTTCCCCCCATGTATATTGTTGATTTCAATAATCGTAAGGTACCGAATACTGAGTACTATCATTGGCTAAGGGTAGATCAAACTATCCGTTCTTGGTTGTTTGCTACTTTTACTCGTGATGTCTTAGTTGATGTACATGATCTTAAACATTCTTTTGGGATATGGGAAAGGTTGCAAACTCGATTCATGTCTGCTAGTTTAACTTGTTGTATGGAATTGAAGTGTCAGTTAAATAATCTTAAAAAGAGAGAAAATCAGTCTATGGACCATTATCTCCGGGATATTAAAAATTTGATTGATGCTCTCGATGCGGTTAATTCATCAGTTTCGGCCAAAGAGTTGCTTGAGTCTGTTATTCGCGGCTTGGGTCCCGAATACGAATCATTGGTATGTATTGTTATGCTTTTTCCCGATCAATTTCCCTTTGAGATATTGCAACCTCGTCTTATGGAGGCCGAACAGCGGGTATTATTCAATCGCCAACAAGCTTCTCAGATTCAGTCAGCCTTTGCGGCTGTTGAACAGCAGCCACCGCAGCAACCGTATGCTCCACGAGGTCGGGGAGGTCGCGGCAGGGGAGGTCGCGGCAGGGGAGGCCGCAGCAGAGGCAGAGGAGGTCGCAGACGCCATAATTATGGTCAGCAGTTTGGACAGTAATACTATGGGCCGCAGCACCAGGCAGGTCACCTGCAGCAGTTCGGCCCACCACTGTCGGTCCAGCCGGGTCCGCAGCAGGTTCGTCCGTCAGTCCAGCTCGGTCTGCCTCACGCTACATCTTCATCGGGCACTTCAGGTTCTGCTAGTATATCTGTTTTGTCCACTTTAAATACTAATCTCTATTTTATTTATGGTACTAACTCTAGCACTGCAGGCTTTCCATCTTCTGAGGGTATTCTTGGTTCTGTCCCACCGCCTGTTGTTTGTCAGATATTTTTCTCCACAGGTCATCCTGCTATGCATTGTCCGTCCCATTTCAGTCAACACTCTGCTCCTGCATTGATGACTTCCAATAGTGATACTAATGCGTCTTTATGGTTCCCGGATTCCGGTGCTTCAGCTCATATGACTCCATCAGAAGGTATTTTAGTCAATAAATTTCCTTATACTGGATCACATTCTGTTAGTGTTGCCAATGGTTCTCAATTACCTATAGCTAATATTGCTGATATTCCATTATCTTCCTCTAGTTGCCCTCTTGTTTTAAAATATGTTTATCGTGTGCCTCAAATCAAATTTAATTTATTATCTATTCAGAAACTTTGTGCTGATAACAACTGTGTTGTAATTTTTGATAAAAATTATTTTTTTTGTTAAGGACAAAATTTCGGGGGCAGTCCTTCTTCGAGCACCCAGTAAAGATCATCTTTATCGTGTCAGCCTCAGTTCTCCATCATCACTTGCTCTCTCATCCGTATTTGTTCCAGGCATCTTGTGGCATCATAGATTAGGCCATTGTGGCGACTCTATTTTACATTCCTTAAATAAGCAAAAACACATTTGTAGTAGCTCTAGTTTTTCTCATGATTGTATTTCTTGTCGTTTAGGCAAATCACAACGTTTACCTTTCTCAGATGCTAGTCATTCTTGTTCTAAACCACTTCAGCTTATTCATTCTGATGTTTGGCAATCACCTGTTTTGTCCAATTTGGGATTTAAATATTATGTGTGTTTTATAGATGATTTTTCTCGATTTACTTGGTTGTATCCGATGCACCGAAAAGATGAAGTTTTTACTCACTTTAAAAATTTTAAAGTTCTAGTGGAAAATCTTTTTAATACTAGAATTAAAAAATTTCAAAGTGATGGAGGTGGTGAATTTGTTAATTCTCATATGCGGCAATTTTTTAAAACCCATGGAATTTATTTTCGCAAATCTTGTCATGATACTCCCCAACAAAATGGGGTTGCTGAAAGAAAACATACACATTCATTGGAACTAACTAGGACTATGCTTCTTGAAGCCTCTATTCCTAGCACTTTTTGGGTCGATGCTATTCTTACTGCTGCATATATTATTAACCGTTTACCTACTCCTCTTCTTTTCGGTGTATCGCCATACGAACAACTTTTCCATAAAGTCTTGGATTACTCTTTTCTTCGTTTGTTTGGTTGCTCCTGTTTTCCAAATATTTCTGCTACTTCATCTAATAAACTCTCAGGCCGTTCTATTCATTGTGTTTTTATTGGCTATGCATCTTGGTATAAGGGATATCGTTTCCCTGAGACATTCAGTCCGGTCATTAAACCCACCATTGTTCGTATTGTTCTTACACTTGCTGTTTCTTTTGGGTGGGTTATGCGTCAATTAGATGTCAAAAATGATTTTCTTCATGGTCAGCCGCGGGCCTTTGTTCATCCCCACTTTCCTGATCATGTGTGTCGCCTGCGTAAGGCCATTTATGGCCTTAAGCAAGCTCCGCGGGCTTGGTTTCATAGATTTAGCATCTTTCTTCTTTATCATAATTTCCTGTGTAGTAAGTCTGATAAATCTCTATTTATTTATCGCACCGGGTCATCTGTTCTGTATTTATTGTTATATGTGGATGATATTATAATCACAGGAAATTCCTCTTCTCTTATCACTTCCTTCATCAGTCTTATTGCTTCGCCCTGCCACAGGTTTATTTCTTTCCCAGCAAAAAAATGTGTTTGATCTTCTTCATCGGAGTACTACATCCATCAGTCTTATACCAATTATAGAGTAATTTGGTATATTTAAGTCTGATCTGGTTTATTAATTAATTAAATACGAGATTAAAGACATGCTCCTTATTTATTATTACTACCTCCATCCCATAATGTAAGATGCATTTGGGTTGGGTGTGATTTTAAAAAATAAAAGATAAAGTGGTTGTTTTACAATCCAAGAAGTTATTCTCTTCGTCTTAATCTTATTACTTATTCCTTATTCTTTTTTTATTCAGATCAAATCAGATCAAATCAGAAAAATTCAGATCAGATCAGAAAGATTCAGATCAGATCAGAAGCATTCAGATCAGATCAAAAAGATTCAGATCAGGCCAGATCAGAAACATTCAGATCAGATCAGATTAGAAAAATTCAAACATGATTTATCACTTTTATTATTATATTAATTATAATTGTTACTATTATAGTTATTATATTATAATTATTGTTAATAATATTAATAATAATATATTAATATAATAATAATAATAATAATAATAATAATAATAATAATAATAATAATAATAATAATAATAATAATAATATAATAATATAGTAATAATAATATTAATAATAGAAATATTATTATTACATTATAATAATAATAATATAATTTATGATTATTATATTATTATTGTTATAATATAATAATATAATTATAAGAATAATTATAATTATAATTATAATTATAATTATAATTATAATCATAATTATAATTATAATTATTATTATTGTTGTTGTTATTGTTGTAATTATTATACGGAGTAACTATATTTCTATTTATAATTATATTTATAATTGTAATTATAGAAATAAATATTATAAATTTAATTAAAATAATAATTATATAATTAATTATAATTAAAATATAATTACATTTATAATTGTATCTATAGTTATAATTAGTGTAATTGGTATAATTATTTTAATTTTAATTTTTAGTTTTATTTATAATTATATTTTTTTTAGTTATGATTATAGTTATAATTTTATTTAAGTTATATTTGTAATTATTATAATTATAATTATAACTAATAGAAATATTCAAATCAGATCAGATTAGAAGAATTCATATCAAATCAGAAACATTCATA